TCACCTCAGCCTCCCAAAGGCACGGGATTACAGGCTGAGCCACCGAGCCTGGCTACATTTTTTTCTTTTTTAAGTAATTAGTTTGTAACAATTTATTAGCTATTTGAAAAAAATAATAATACAAATTGAAGGGAAAATTATTTTATTTTATTCTTAAATAACTACAAATAGTTACTAACTGGATATGTAATCTGTTGGATACTGCAAAACTTCTTAAACCTTGAAATCCAATACTGTTACCCTCATTTTTTGTTCCCTGCTTACTTTTTATCAGAGGGAACTTCTGAAACCAGCTTTGCAAAGATATTTTGTCATCAGAAGGAATGTAGTAGCATGATCTAATGTTATAGCCATGAAATAGCTCAATCTAATAGTATACAAGCTAATAGTACACACATTATACAAAAAATACCAAATATTGCTGTGTTTCCTTTGACATTTAAATATATTCCATAGTGCCCTTGTGATTTTGTACCTTGGCACAGGGCTTAGGAACCATGCCCCCAGTCACTCCACACTACTTCATTCCTAAATCTATGTAGTATAAATGAATGGGTTCTGCAATCAAACTATCTGTGTATGAATTATCTTTAACCCCTTACTTATTGGCTGTATGATCCTAGGCAAGTAAAATTCCTACTATGCCTCAGTTTTTCATCTGTATAATGGTGATAATAATAGTACTTACTATTGTTGCAAGGATTACATAAAATACCTTTTAAGTATTTAAATAAATGTCTGGCATTATAATAAGCACACAGCAAAGAATAGCTATTACTATTCTCCTTTGTCTCTTTTTGATCTTTCTAGACACACCCACCCATGAATTGAATCAACTAGTGGTACATCCAATCTATCAACAGCAATGAATCTTCCAGTGTTCAAAACAGAAGGCACTAACCACCTGTGGCTATTTAAATGTAATAAAATTAATTAAGATGAAATAAAAATAAAAATTCAATTCCCGAGTCATCCTAACCACATTTTAACTGCTCAATAGCCACATCTGGCTAGGAGGTACCATATGGCATAGCATAGAAACATTCTATCATCACAGAAAGTTCTATTGCACATTGCAGCAGGTATCTTTTCTAGTTACTGCTACCCTATATCACAAAAAAGAAGCTGGAATTGTGTTTCACTGTTAACTTACAGGGTAATGATACTTTTAGGATGTCTGTAGTCAGGAACCAAGCAATAATCAACCTTATGGTGATTATAGTTAATTACTGCCTTCTTACCCTTTCTTCTATTTTCTTATCACTTCTATCCTCAATGAGGCTCCCTTGTCCAGAAACACTATTAGTAACACACCCATTCTCCACCTTTAAGATCAAGGAAATTAAAAAACAGAAGTGGCAGGAACATACTGCCTCCTAATGTCAACAATTATAGAAGCTGTCTCGACCTCTCAAGATTCTTTGGGTGGGAAGCCCATTTTATTCCTGCCCTCTCAAGTGGGGGCTCTCATTCTCACTAGATCACATGATAGATACTCTTTTTAAAATATCTACCCATACCACTGCCAATAATCTTTGACTTTCCATTTTTTTCAATTGCTGAAATTAAAACATTTTAGGGGTTTGTGGGTTTTTTAATGTTAATAAAGATCACTTGTATGCTCCCCCCTTTTTTTTTCATAGAGAGGGGCTATGTTGCCCAAGTTAGGCTGGTCCCAAACTTGCAGCTTCGAACTATCCACCTCACCTCCAAAAAAGTGCCGGGATTACAGGCATGAGCCACCACACTGGACCTTCTTTTTCTTTTTCTTTTTTTTTTTGAGTTGGAGTCTCACTCTGTAGCCCAGACTGGTGCAGTGGCCACACCCAGCTGATTTTTTGATTTATTGTAGATATGAGGTCTCGCCAAGTTGCCCAGGCGGGTCTTGAACCCGCGGGCTCAGGCAATCCACTCACCTCAGCCTCCCAAAGGTGCGGGATTACAGGCTAAGCCACCAAGCCCAGCTTTATTTTTCTTTTCTAAGAGTAAGACCTCCATCTGTGCCTTATTCAATGGCAGAAAGAACCGAGTAGAGACAGAGGACTGGTCTAACACCCTCAATTCCAAAGACTCTGGCTCCTGGAGATGGATGCCCCAAAGAAAAGGGCAAAGAACTGGGCCTAAGAAGGGCATGGAAACAAGAGAGCAAAGGTCCAGTGTAATTAACATAAATTAATCATTTAAATCCAGACCACATGATACCCTTCTTCCATACTACACCTCATCTTGGTTAACTCACTTTGCATGTTACCAGAAACATTCTTTGCCCTGGAAATGGAGTAAGGAATTGTGTTGTTTTCCTACAGGTGATAGACTACCACCTCAGGAAAAAGAAATAGGGTATGTGGCCGGGCTCGGTGACTTAGCCTGTAATCCCAGCGCTTTGGGAGGCCGAGGTGAGTGGACTGCCTGAGCCCGC